ATTCTATTATAGTCAGAGAAAGTACTTTCTATGGTTTCAATCCTTTCACATTTATTGATTTTTTTTTATGGCCTAGCATATGGTCCATCCAGGAAAATGTTCCATATACACTTGGAAAGAATTCTACCACTGTTGGGTGGAGTGTTCTACAGATGTCTATTTTGTCTACTTGGCTTATGGCGTCATTCAAGTCTTCTATCTCCTTCTTGATCTTTTGCCTAGTTTTTCTATCCATTATTGAAAATATTTGGATATTTCTATCCATTATTGAAAGTTGTAACTATTGTTGAATTACCTGTTACTCTTTATTCTTTTCAGGTATGTTTCTTATATTAAGCTCTGTTTTTAGGTGCATATTTGTTTATAATTGTTATGTCTTCCTGATGGATTGACCCTTTTGTCATTATAAGATGTCTCTATCAGTAATAATATTTTTTGTTTTACAATTTATTTTGTCTGATATGTAGCCTCTCCAATTTTCTTATGGTATTGTTTGCATAATATATTTCTTTTCCTTCCTTTTATTTTCAATTCATTTATATCTTTTAATCTAAAGTGTGTTGTGTAGACAGCATAGAGTTGGATCATTATACAGCCTGACAAACTCCGCCTTTTTAAAAAAATATATTTTTATTTATTTATTTCAGAGAGAGAAAGTGAGAGAGAGAGCAGGGGGAGGAACAGAGGGAGAGGGAGAGAGAGAATCCCAAGCAGACTCCGCACTGAGTGCAGAGTCTGATACCAGGCTTGATCCCACCCCTGAGATCATGACCTGAGCCAAAATCAAGAGTCGGACTGAGACACCCAGGTGTCCCTAATTTCTGCCTTTTTACTGGATTGTTTTATCCACTGACATTAAATACTTTTAATGGTATTGTTATTTGTGTGTTTGCTATTTTACTTTTTATTTTCTACATTTTGTTCCCAATTCTTCACTTACTGCCTTCTCTTACATTAAGTGAATTCTTCCAGTGTAACAGTTTAGTTCCTTATTGATTTTTTTCACCATATTTTAAATATTTGTTATTTTTTAGTGGTTTCTCTAGGGTTTACCAGAATACATTTCAAACTGATACTAAATTAACCCCAGTGAGACACAATGTTACTCCTCTATAGCTCAATTTCTACTTCCTTCTTTTTGCACTATTTTTTTCGTGCTATTTGGGTCTTTTACAAGCCCAATATATTATTATAATTATTACTTTATAAAATTTTATATCTATTTTTAAAAAGCTGAGAGAAGAAAGGAGAACACATATATATTTATAGTTTGTTATATTTAGCAGGTATCCTTTCTAACATTCTTTTTACTTTTGAAATATTTATTAAATACACAGGTATTTATTACATTGTATCTGGTTGCTTATGAGCATTTTATTGAAAATGAGGGTTAATATTAGTGGAATAAATGTGTTTTCTTATGAACAAAATTGTCAGTTTTGACTTTTGTCATTTTATCTACTGGGATTTTTCATATTATTCTGACCAATTTAAGAAATTTTTTAGGTCATACCTTTAATTACTGTCATTTTGATTTAATCTTTTTCACAAATTATTTTTTTACTGTAGTAAGTTAAACTTTTCATTGTTATTACTTCAAACTTTAGAAATTTCTTATCCTTTTAAGATCTAAAAGACATTCATTGTTTCAAGTTGTAAAAATAAAAATATTTTTCTTATACATAGGCCATAAACTATGGAAACATAGCTAAACTTTTTTTTCCTCCTCTTTTACAGATTAAACCTCCATAGTACATACCCTGGGTTATATTAGAGATGCAGGCTTATTCAGTGAAAATCAGAGACAGAAAATGTCTACAGCTATACACAACAGATAATTGGGCACATTAACTTATTGGGCTTTCCATAGCTTTACACAGAACACTGAACCCTCCATCACTGAGCAGGACAACATACTTCAATATATCACTTCAGTCACGCACTAGAATAGTATCAATAAACCATTCAGTGTTGTATTTGTCTATTTCCACATTTGATGGCCATTCTGTATATAATACTTAATTCACTTAGATCATATTTTAACGGTGCTATGACTTAAATTGATGATCCTACAAATTGCGTACCAGTTTTCCCAACACTACTTATTTAAAGAAAAAAAAAATCTCTTTAGACTAGAGACATGACAATTAAATGCAGCTCCCAATACTAAACTGGATCTTGTACTAGAAGGAAAAATGATGGTACAAAGGAAAAATAATGGCATAAGTGGTATAAATAAAGGTATAAAGGATAATAGCATAAAATAAGGGTATAATGGATCAATTAACAAAACTGGAATACAGAAGGCATATTAGATACATGTACTACAATGTTAAGTTTATTGAAATTGATCATTGTACTGTGGTTATTAAAAGAATATTTGTAGCGTTAGGAAACACAAATTGATGTATATAAGGGTGAAGAGCCATGACGGATGTAGTCTCAAAGAATAAAAACAAAGGAACAAAAAAACCAAAGGAAACACCACATTTATGGTTCTCAACTGGGGGTAATTTGTCACCTCCCAGGACATTCGTAACGTCTGGACACATTTTTTGGGGGGGTATCCTGGCATCTGGCTGGTGGAGTCCAGGGATGCTAACACCCCACAATGCACAAATCAGCCCTCACAACAAAGAATGATCTGGCCTCAAATGTCAACAGTGTTGAGGTTGAGAAACCTTAATACAGAGAAAGCAAATATTGGAGGAAGTGGGATAAAATATTAACAGTAGGTGTGCATAGGTGAGGGGTATATGGGTGTTGTTGTGATTATTCTTTTTTTTTAAAGTTTTCATTTAAACTCCAGCTAGTTAATATATAGCATAATATTAGTTTCAGGTGTACAATATAGTGTTTCAAAACTTACATACTACAGCCGGTGCTCATCACAACATGTGCACTCCTTAATCTCCATCACCCATTTAACCCATCCTCTGTTTTGATTATTCTTTATCTTGTAACTTTCCTGTAATTTGGAAATTACTTCCAAAAAAAAGTGTTTTTAAACTTCTTTTAAAAGTACTATGCTGTGATGATTACTTTATCATACACTGAATCATTACAGACAAAAATGGACCTATTTTGGGGTTTCCTAATCTATTTCTAGTCTATTCTATTTCTCTTCTCTATTTCTAGTCTGTCTCCTGAAGACTTGCAGCAGTGAACATTTCTGGTGAGGTGACTTGTCAAAGCCATGAGAATAGTTCTTTGGAACTTAACTAGGCAAGATATTTTAAAATATGCATATTAAATGTGCAATGTGCAAAGACCCCAGGGTCAGATTATTTATTTGCCTGATGTTTTTTCAGGAGAACAGATCAAAGAGTGAGGCTGGGCTCTGGGAAGCTACAGCAGTGATTCCCTGAAGTGAGTACCCCTCATGCAATCCAAGCTCTTTAGAGCCATCCAAACACAAAGCGACATCAAGCTACATGTGATATTAGTCTTTTGTTTGGATAAGAACATTCTACAAACACATTTCCAAACGTTAGCCTGTAGAAAACATTTGTGCTTTTTAGGCTACAGGATCTTGAAGCCAAATTGACTTTATTTTTTTTAAAGATTTTATTTATTTATTTGTCAGAGAGAGAGAGAGCATAAGCAGGGGGAGTGGCAGGCAGAGCAGGCAGAGTAGGCAGAGGAAAAAGCAGACTTCCCGCTGAGCAAGGAGTCCAATGCAGGACTCAATCCCAGGAGCCTGGGATCACGACCTGAGCCAAAGGCAGCTGCTTAACCGACTGAGCCACCCAGGTGCCCCTAGCCTAACTGACTTTAAAGTACAATTTAAATATATCCATCATAGACACACTTCTCTGAAAGGATCTGGGAATCAGGGGCGCCTGGGTGGCTCAGATGGTTAATCATCTCCCTTCAGCTCGGGTCATGGTCCCAGGGTCCTGGGATCGAGCCCCACATCAGGCTCCCTGCTCGGCAGGAAGCCTGCTTCTCCCTCTTCCACTCCCCCTGCTTGTGTTCCCTCTCTCACTGTGTCTCTCTCGGTCAAATAATTTAAAAAAAAAAAAAAAAAAAAGGAATCTGTCTAAAATACAGCAGAATACCACTATATAAATGAGTTAGAAACTTGGATTTTATTTCTCTTCTATCATATGTTTCTTAATTTCTTCAAAGTAAAACAGTAAAAATAGGTTCCTGGAAGGATATGTGTTGAGCTATTCAATAAATGTCTCATAAAATCATTTTTGTAGGTAAGCCAAATGTAATACAAAGACTCCACTTACAATACATGGTGGCTGACAGCATTCAAGTCCCCAATCCTACTTTGCCCTTTGCCCCGATAAGAAAGCCTGCTAATACCCTCAGACCCTAGTGTCCTCAGGCCCTTGGCAATGGGAGAAATTTCAAACCATGCAAGCCCCTGCTGAGGGTGGGAACCTCCACCCGACTCACTTTCTAACTACAATAAAACCCAAAGCCCCACCTCCCTCATATCCCTCCAGACCACACAGAAGCCCTTCTCCTACACATGGGGATTCATCTGCTGTTAACTGTTATGAGTTATAAATTCTATTTTATACCCATTGGTGCCCATGTGTCATTTGTCCCACCTCCATAATTTCCCAGGGTGGAGTGGGAGGATTGTTCAGTGTCTGGTAGGGGATGCTAGACACACAAATAAAACACCAATTGACTAGTTTTGCTTAATGATTTCTCAGAATCACTTGCCAAGGCACCAGGAAGACTCTAGTTTCTAGGAAGTCTTCCAGGGCAAAGACCAGGAGAAAGACAGAATCACATTCACTAATGTCCATGCATAAGTTAGGGTCTGAAATATACTAAAGCAAATTTCTAAGAGAAGGGTTAATAATTCAAAAAAATAATTTGAAGGATAAAATTAAACCATAGAGTAGAATACTGAAGACCTACCTTCAGTTATAATTTTGCTATTATTATTTGAACAGAAACATTTAAAATGTAAAGTTTTTTTAAAAAATCTAAACTACACATTAAAAACCAAAACACAGAATCCCAATTCTCACCCAAACGGCACTCCAAGGGCACCCAGTGGAGTCACCAGGACTGTGGGGACCGCAGTGTAAGCCAGGAAGTTTCCAATCTGGCCAACAGCCACTGTCAAGAGAATCACAAGAATACCACTTGCAATTACAGCTCTCTTTTAGCAATGATCAGAGTTTAATTTGGCAAGGCTCTGCTCTGAAAGGGCTATTTCTTTTCATTACTGGTGAGGAAGTAAACATGGGGCATCACTTGCATAATTAAGGGTCCTGAAGGCAGAGGACAGCAGGCCCCAGAGCATCATGACCCAACGGGTCAGGAGTAGTTTCAGCCCTCTGTGGAAATTCCCAAACTAAATGGCAGTGACTGACAATGGGTGCGACAAAGTATATTTCCACTCTCTCCTTCACACATCCTCCTTTTAAGACTGATCATGTAGAATTTCCTGTCATCTCAATGGCCTGGAATCTACTCCAGTATAGACTAGTGGGCCACAGGGACATGCTGCTCATACACCAGCTGGAGAAACTACTGCCTGCACGGGACTGCACCCAGAGCTAGATCAAGACAGACCTTAACGATGAGCTCCTCAAATAAAGGAAACAACATCCGCTAGACAACGTCTCACCTCGAAGACAATGTGTGACAAGTAAACCTCATGATATTTCTAGATTATTTAATACAATTTTTCTTTATATATTTAGGGTTCCAAACCCCAATTTTATTATTTATTTTTATATGATAGCACATAACCTGTGCACATGACCTCTTTTATACAATAGTACATGATCCTGTACTGAAGGCTAAGTGAAGAAACTCTCCTTTGTAAAATCAATTATGTTCACCAAAACATGAAATTTCACCAAATATCAACAGCATGACTAAAGATGAGTAAGCAGGAGCTGTTTTAATTTCTTTGGGCCCAGGACAGTCTGAGCTGGACTATATTCAGAGCTAACTGCAGGCAGTAGGAGCCTCTATCTCCCCCACCAATGCCTCCCACCCTGGTCCTCATCCCAAAGAACGGAGCCACACTCATTCCACCTCCTCCAGTCCTGCCAGAAGAATGACCGATTTTAAGAAAGAAAGCACACCAAGCTTTTCACCACACTGGGTACTTACTTGCAATTGTGCCTGCCCACCACACAATGTCTGTTAAATAGGAGGTACCTATGAAAGAGTGAGATAAAAATGTGAGAAAAGTACAAAGCAAGAGGTTTACAAACTATATACTTAAAAAGGAGTTTTTACATGAAAATAAAATTGAGAATAATGAACGCCATACTGCTTATTCACCCTTTAAAGAATTGTTAAGTTAGTCTATAAATAGCAGCATGAGAAACCATTAAAAGTGGCAAATACAGATATTTTTTGCAATGGACACAAGCTGACCCAAACAACAAATGAAACCTTTATAAAAAGCTATTTTTGGCTCATCATGCCACCCAGAGACACAAGTATTCTTTGGCATGAAGTTTTATGTTGAAGTCCAGTTCTCTCATGCATTTACTGCAACCCATTTATGTGATAATTTATGAGCATAGGGTTCAATGACTTGGTGCTTAAGCAGGTTACATAATTTTCATAAAATAGAACCTTTATGATATGGCTCTTTTTTCAACCATTTGGACAGCAGACTTTTTCACTCACTCAATGATTTGACATTTTACACAGTCTCCTATATTCTCTTAGGTTACCGTCATATATCCCCATGCATAGCCAGACAGAAACATGAGCAGATACCCAGGCCTCCCCATCAGATGGGTCCCTCTTCCTGCCTGTATGACAGGAACCTTCAGCAAGATAGTCTCCCAACCTTTCAGACACATAGTTGTACTAATTCGAATATGTCAAAATGCTAGTCTGACAGGTTTCTTCACTTCAGATTTAGGTACCAAATTCTAGATTTTAGCCATTTTAACAGGTGTGAGCTGATATCTTATTGTGGTTTTGATTTGTATTTCCTTGATGATGAGTGTGTTGAGCATCTTTCCATGTGTCTGCTGGCCACCACTATGTCCTCTTTTGAAAAATGTCTATTTAGGTCCTCTACCCATTTCTCAACCACATTGTTTGGTATTTTTGGGGTTGAGTTGTATAAGTTCTTTATATACTTCTTTTTAAATTTTATTTTATTATGTTACGTTAGTCACTATACATCATTAGTTTTTGATGTAGTGATCCACGATTCATTGTTTTTGTATAACACCCAGTGCTCCATGCAGTACGTGCCCTCCTTAATACCCACCACCGGGCCAATCCATCCCCCAATGCCCCTCCACTCCAAAACCGTCAGTCTGTTTCTCGGATTCCACAGTCTCTCATGGTTCATCTCCCCCTCCGATTTCCCCCACTTCGATTTTCCCTTCCCTCTCCCAATGACCTCCATGCTATTCCTTATGTTCCACAAATAAGTGAAACCATATGATAATTGACTTTCTCTGCTTGACTTATTTCACTTAGCATAATCTCCTCCAGTCCCATCCATGTTGATGTAAAGGATTTTTAAAAAAAAAAAAAAGATTTTATTTAGTCATTTGACAGAGACACAGCAAGAGAGAGAACACAAGCAGGGGGAGTGGGAGAAGGAGAAGCAGGCTTCCCGCTGAGCAGAGAGCCAGATGCGGGGCTTGATCCCTGGACCCTGGGATCATGACCTGAGCCGAAGGCAGACGCTTAACAACTGAGCCACCCAGGCACCCCCATGTTGATGTAAAAGCTGAGTATTCATCCTTTCCGATGGCTGAGTAATATTTCATTGTATATATGGACCACATCTTCTTTATCCATTCATCTGTTGAAGGGCATCTTGGCTCTTTCCACAGTTTGGCTATTGCGGATATTACTGCTATGAACATTGGGGTGCATATGGCCCTTCTTTTCACTACATCTGTTTCTTTGGGGTAAATACCCAGTAGTGTAATTGCTGGGTCAAAGGGTCGCTCTGTTTTTAATTTTTTGAGGCACCTCCATGCTGTTTTCCAAAGTGGCTGTACCAACTTGCATTCCCACCAACAGTGTAAGAGGGTTCCCCTTTCTTCACAACCTCTCCAACATTTGTTTCTTGCCTTTTCGATTTTTGCCATTCTAACTGGTGTAAGGTGGTATCTCAATGTGGTTTTGATTTGAATTTCCCTGATGGTTAATGATGAACATTTTTTCATGTGTCTGTTAGCCATTTGTATGTCTTCTTTGGAGAAGTGTCTGTTCATGTCTTCTGCCCATTTTTTGACTGGATTATTTGTTTCTTGGGTGTTGAGTTTGAGAAGTTCTTTATAGATCTTGGATACCAGCCCTTTATCTGTAGTGTCATTTGCAAATATCTTCTCCCATTCTGTGGGTTGCCTCTTTATTTTGTTGACTCGTTCTTTGCTCTGCAGAAGCTTTTTATCTTAAGTCCAAAAAGTTCATGTTTGATTTTGTTTCCCTTGACTTTGAAGATGTATCTTGAAAGAAGTTGCTGTGACCGATGTTGAAGAGGTTACTGCCTATGTTCTCCCCTAGGATTTTGATGGATTCCTGTCTCACATTGAGGTTTTCATCCATTTTGAGTTTATCGTTGTGTATGGGGTAAGAGAATGGTCGAGTTTCATTCTTCTGTAGATAGCTGTCCAATTTCCCAGCACCATTTATTGAAGAGACGGTCTTTTTTCCATTGCATATTCTTTCCTGCTTTGTCAAAGACTATTTGGCCATAGAGTTGAGGGTCCATATCTGGGTTCTCTATTCTGTTCCATTGGTCTATATGTCTGTTTTTCTGCCAGTACCATGCTGTCTGGGTGATTACTGCTTTGTAATATAGCTTGAAATCGGGCAACGTGATGCCCCCAACTTTGTTTCTCTTTTTCAACATTTCCTTAGGGATTCGTGGTCTTTTCTGATTCCATACAAATTTTAGGATTGTTTGTTCCAGCACTTTGAAAAATGTCATTGGAATTTTGATTTGGGATGGTGTTGAAGGTATAGATTGCTCTGGGCAGCATAGACATTTTAACAATGTTTATTCTTCTGATCCATGAGCATGCAATGTTTTTCATTTTGGGGTCTTATTTAATTTCTTTCATAAGTGTTGTGTAGTTCCTAGAGTATAGACCCTTTACCTCTTTGGTTAGGCTTATTCCGAGGTATCTTATGGTTTTTGGTGCTATTGTAAATGGAATCGTTTCTCTAATTTCTCCTTCTACCATTGCATTATTAGTTTACAAGAAAGCAACTGATGTCTGTGCATTGATTTTGTATCCTGCCACATTACTGAATTGCTGTATGAGTTCTAGTAATTTGGGGGTGGAGTCTTTTGAGTTTTCCACATAAAATATCATGTCATCTGTGAAGAAAGAGAGTTTGAATTCTTCTTTGCCAAGTTGGATACCTCTTATTCCTTTTTGTTGTCTGATTGCTGTTGCTAGGACATCTAGTACTATGTTGAACAATAGTGGCGAAAGTGGGCATCGTTGACGTGTTCCTGATCTTACAAGAATGTCTCTTCTCTTTTCCCCATTGAGGATGATATTCGCTGTGGGTTTTTCATAGAAGGATTGTATGAAATAGAGGAATGTTCCCTCATCTCTATACTCTGAAGAGTTTTAATCAGAAAAGGAGTTTCTGTCAAATGCTTTTTCTGCATCAATTGAGCAGACCATACAGTTCTTCCCTCTCCTCTTATTAATGTGTTCTATCACATTGAGTGATTTGCAAATATTGAACCACCCTTGCATCCCAGGGATAAATCCCACTTGGTTGTGGTGGATGATCCTTTAAATGTATTGTTGGATCCTATTAGCTAGGATTTCGTTGAGAATTTTGGAATCCATATTCATCAGGATATCGGTCTGAAATTCTTTTTGATGGGGTCTTTGCCTGGTTTGGGGATTAAGGTAATTCTGGCCTCAAAGAATGAGTCTGGAAGCTTTCCTTCTGTTTCTATTTTTTGAAACAGCTTCAGGAGAATAGGTATTTCTTTTCTGAATGTTTGGTAGAATTCCCCAGGGAATCCATCAGGCCCTGGACTCTTGTTTTTTGGGAGGTTTTTGATCACTGCTTCCATCTTGTTACTGGTTACTGGTCTATTCAGGTTGTCAATTTCTTCCAGTTTGTCTTGGAAGTTTACAGGTTTCCAGGATGGCATCTATTTCTTCCAGGCTGCTTAATTTATTGGCATACAGCTGTTGATAATAATTTCTAATAATTGTTTCTATTTCGTTGGTGTTAGTTGTGATCTCTCCCCTTTCATTCATAATTTTATTAATTTGGGTCCTCTTTTCTTTTGGAGAAGTCTGGTCAGTGATTTATAGATCTTATTAATTCTTCCAAAGGACCAGCTTCTAGTTTCGTTGATCTGATCTACTGTGTTTCTGGTTTCTAACTCATTGATCTCTGCTCTAATCTTAATTGTTTCTCTTCTAATGCATGGCTTAGGCATCGTTTGTTAATTTTACTCTAGTTCTTTAAGGTGTAAAGTTAGTGAATTCAGGATTTTTCTATTTTTTTGAGTGAGGCTTGGATGGCTATGTATTTCCCCCTTAAGACAACCTTTGCGGTATCCCATAGGTTTTGACTGATGTGTTTTCATTGTCATTGGTTTCCATGAATTAAGTTCTTCCTTGAATTCTCGGTTGACCCAAACATTATTGAGCAGAGTGGTCTTTAGCTTCCAAGTGTTTGAATTTCTGCCAAATTTTTTCTTGTGATTGCTTCTTTTAAAGCATTGTGGTCTGAGAATATGCAGGAAATAATCTCAATCTTTTGGTATCGGTTGAGACCTGATCTGTGACCCAGGATGTGGTCTATTCTGGAGAAAGTTCCATGTGCACTTGAGAAGAATGAGTATTCTGTTGTTTTAGGGTGGAATGTTCTGTATGTATCTATGAGGTCCATCTAGTCCAGTGTGTCATTCAAAGCTCTTGTTTCTTTGTTGATTTTCTGCTTAGATGATCTGTCTGTTGCTGAGAGTGGAGTACTGAGGTCTCCTACAATTAATGTATTGTTATCAATATGACTCTTTATTTTGGTTAACAGTTGGCTTAGGTAGATGGCTGCTCCCATGTTGGGGTTTAAGATACTTACAATTGTTAGATCTTCTTGTTGGATACACCCTTTAAGAATAATATAGTGTCCTTCTGTGTCTCTAACTACAGTCTTTAGCTTAAAATCTTGGGGTGCCTGGGTGGCTC